GTTTAAAATTTCGCTTTACTATAGCATAACAGACAATCCTATGATTGGCTAATATGCCCGGTAATTTATACACTTTAAAACTTTTTGAGAATGTAACGTTTCATTAAAAAAACCATCGTAAAGTACTTTTTGAGAATGTAATGTTTCATTAACAAACAAACCATTGTAAATACAACAACATAATATGTGCGGAAGAATGTCAGCGTTCATTACGTAAAATAATCAATAACCCGGTGAACTTCACTTAAAAGCGATTATTTTACTGCTCATTGCTATACTAATTGTATAAAAATGTTAAATACATTAGAAATGGTCAACCAAAAAAAGACTAAAAAAAAACAATAAAGGCGTAAGACAATCAAGGCATAAGTGTACGAATATAAACACGCGTGCGGACAGACATGAATTTTTAAAATTACATTTATTGATACAACTAATAATTTAATCAAAAACGAAACTTATGTGTCACTCATTAAATGTCCTCCGCTACGTACGCTCCGGACAATTAAATTTTAATCGATTCAAAATTTCTTAATGTACATATTAATTAAATAATGCTAAGTACGGCTTAATGAATTAATTCCTCCCAATATTCAATTAATATAAGATCGTAATTATTAAAATAATCCTATATATTAAAATAATCAATTAAACAATATACATAAAGTTAATCTCTAAGATCAAAAAACTTAAGGATTCTAGCTCGCCTTTTTAGTCAGTTTTGCATTCGCGCAATTGAATTGGCCAATCAGACGAATGTGAGTGAAGTTACACAACATTTATCGTTATCAAATATCGATATTGGATGTTTAATGTTAAGTTATTTGCAGATAAAAATGTCAAATCCTCAAGAAAACCAAAACGAAAACAAAAGTGAAATTGATCGATGCATAGAATTATTGCGTCCATCTTCGTCGGATGATGCTAAATTTGTCGCGCTTATGCTTTTACCGCGACTTTTGAAACAGGAAAAAGAAAATGTGATACTTATCTTTGACGCGATGGATTTCAAGTTTTTGGAGCGCTTAATGAGAACTGGTATTTATTATTTCATAATTCTTCATTATTATAAAAGTTTGTAAGCTTATTTTATGAGATATCTTGTATTGTATTTAGAGAGTGTAAACGACGACAACCTACCAGACTTTACTTTAAAATCAATAGCTGTTAATATATTATCTTGCTTTTGCGCAACTGACGAACTTTTAAATAGAAAACAGATTCATTCTCGTGTTCCAACTCTTGTGTCTCTTATATCTCCAAAGTAGGTAGTTAAAGCATTAATAATTTAAATTCAATAGCGATTATTTATCTAATTTCGCGTCAATCAAATTAGTAACGAAGAGCTAACGCGAGATATCTTAGGGATACTTCTTAGATTATCATCCGTAAATCAAGGTTTGATTTATATTATAGATGACAAAGTTATTTCAAAGATTTTGCAGTGTATAACGTCTTTCACGAATGGTTAATATTTTTAGCTAAAATTTTTTCTTTAAAATCTGTTTTTAATATTTCATTAACATAGTTTATAGTTGAAATACAGGAACTTGCTCTAAATGTGATTTATTACACTACTATCGGTGTGATCACATCAATTTCAAAGGATCAGAGTTTTCCTGATTCTAAAGCAATTGTTCAAAGATATATCATTATAATACTTAAACAACTGTCAGAAATATTTCGAATAAATCAAGATAAAATTAAGTTTGATTTACTTCAATTTTTTGTTAACATATTTACACGCATGTCAGATCAGGCAAGTTTTTTGATGAATTACATAATTTAAAAGTTTTTTTTTTTTTTTAACAAATAAATAATCCTATTATTTTTAAATAATAGTATGTTCAAGATTTTTTAGTTAATGATAAATCACAAACTAGCATTTGGCTTAAGAATTTTAGGCATGGCTTACTAGCAATTTTAAGTAGCAAATTAGGTGATTTGACGTAAAATCAACTTTAAAATGTAATTTATTGATACTTGAATTAATTTAAATTGTACTTTAATTATAGGGAGTGAACAACGTGATAAGGCACTGTCTCTTGTCATGTTACTTCTTCATCACTTTGGAACTATTTCATTATTAGCTCCTGTTACATCAAATCTTACTTTGACTCAGATATCAAAAAGTGCGGCGAGCGATATTGAAAATGAATTTAAATTTTCAGCGTTATTGGCACAATTATCATGCATTGAAATACGATTGATGTTGGATGAGTTAGAACAAGAAAAAAAGAATGACAAACTTAACGAACGTCTTGATGTGATGTTACCAGCATGTTATACTATTTTGGAAAAATCGATCGAGTATCTATCACACGTTGAAAATTTACTAGAGTCACAGGAAAAAGTAGAAACAAATCGAGTAAAGTTAGAGCCCGATGTTTTACTGCGATTAAGGGGTACTATGACGGAAACATTTCGAGCCATAATTGAATATTTAGTAGACGTTAAAGTATTATTTTATTCAACATTTTGTTTGAATTCTATTATTTCGAACCAAAACTAAGTGTGTATTATAATCTTTATAGGAAGGAGGAATTTCTTACGAGGCCGCTGTGAAAGATGAAAAAATCTTAGCGAGTATTCGTGTCCTTTCTGCATGGCTCGCCGAAGAATGTTCATTAGAAAAAGAAACCTTGGCTGTGTTGCCATTTTTAATTGGCATTTATAATTACTGGTATGAATTTATTCTTATTCTTATTCACATGAATGCATTTTAATTATGGTCAAATGATCATCTCACCTAAATTTTATATGTATTTTACGTATTTCATACGTAAAATTATGTCAAAGCTGTTTCCGGATTTTTGTTTAGTGTAAAGAAGCCGTAATGCTAATTTAAAG